CACGGTACCGTTGAGGCACAATTATTTCTGAATCTTATACAAACATTGTTGACCATAAGGCCGATCCTCCGAGTTTGTCGTTTCACGTGTCCTCGTAATACTTACTACTGGCTTACCCAGAACCAGGTGCAAAAAATATAATTCACTTCGAGATACTTTGTGCTCCAGGTCAATTCAGCAATACAGTTTAGGATCCTAAATATGATGTAGAAAAATGTACTATTCCATTTACATGAAATATATCAGACAAGCTTTTTTTCTTCAACAAAAGGCCTGGGTATTTTTTTTTTTCTGTAATGGTGCATCGAGATGTTCGTAGGAAATTTAAAAAGATGACATCCCAGGATACGAATTGATTAAATTTCGCCAGCATCAGGACCGTAACAACCCTAAAGTCGTTTACGCGAGAAGATGTGGATTCGTGTGTCTAGGGTCGTGGTATCGAGAATCGATGAGTCGAGAAAAGTGACAGATGATTCGTGTAATTAAATTTGGTTGACAGGATACGTACTTTCGATGGAAAAAAAAAATGTGGTTGAGATTGAAAAAGGTGGCAAGTCTTCCAGACGAATGTGAAGAGGGTGTTGACGAGGACGATGCACTCGAGCGTATAGGAAATGTTAAAGAGTGATAAAGTCCTGGCGAGGGGAAAGTTGGAGGAAGAGGAAACGAGGAGGGATGCCTTTTCGGTGGAAATGCGAGCGTCGACGTATTAAAAATGTAGCACCAGAAAAGTGGATAAAAAGGGACCGTGAATATGTGTTGCGTAGGTGTACCTAAGTACATACTTCTCTCCGCAGCAGCAAATGAAGCAAGTATTTTTTTCTACTCCTTTTCGTCATTAAGCTTTTTAAAAGGTAGTTTAAACTCGTACGCGATTGATTCAATTAAAAAAAAAAAAAAAAAAAAAAAAGTAGGTACATGATACCCCGTAAGTTGTATACGCTTTTCTCCGGTCAGTAAAAAATGCCGAAATTAGAGATTTTGTACACTCGATCCGCAAGCTTTTTTCACCCTTTAAAAGTCCTTTTTTGCATCTACGGAGCATGAAAAAAAAAAAAAAAAAAAAAAAAAAAAATCCTCGGTCACGCAAGCAAAAGCACCTTAAAACCGAGTCTTCTCCCGTTCTTTATCGTCCTGCGACTCTTTTGATCCACCCACCGGCCAGAACACTCGGCTAGTAAAACCAAGCATCCCCTGGAAAAATTACAGCTACCCGAAAACCTCCACGAGAGCCTTTTAAGCGGCGTACCTACGACATACCATGTAAACACGTATGTATGTCGAGGCGCCATGGATCGCGATGGAAGAGCCGCTTTTCTTTCCCGCCGCGACAAGCCTAAAGAAAAGCTCACACACACACACACGGAAAGAGGGGGAGGCCAAAGTGTGCTCTCATTCGAAACTGGAGCAAAGAGAGAAAGAGATATGGAGCTTGAACGCGCGTGCCCTGCGTCTCCCTAACCTGAATCATTTTCGTAACCAAGGGAAACCAGGACGAACGCTGCCGGCCCTCTGTAATCCCTTTACCTCTGGCTTGGCCATCCAACTTTGGGACTCGTTTTCACCGTCACCTACACCCGCGTGACATTTGTTTTTTACAACCCTTACCATCATCACCCATTCGAGACGAATCTATAGAATCTCGGGCAACTGTACGCTCATTGCTTCCCTATTCAAGTGCACATGCCGGCTCGAATATAACAGCCCCCGGGACTCTCTCTCTCTCTCTCTCTTACACCCGCCCCTGTTTATCGTGTGTATGTGTGTATGTCTGTGTACACTCGGTCTCGGAGGGAGCGCAACAGCAGTTTTGTTTTTAAGCCAGAGTACGTATTCAGGACAATACGAGCTTGCGGCAAATCTTTCCCCGGCGTCTCTCTCTCTCTCTCTCTCTCTCTCATACCCGCTAATAAACACAGTGGAAGCAGCAGCAGACCCGGCTAGGCTGCAATCTCCCACTCGTGTGCCTACGGCGCATAATAAGTACACCACGAGATTCAGCGCGGCAAAATCAATGCCACGAGAGTGCCGTAGCTCTCTTTCTCGCATAATTTTCAGCTCGGAGCTTGCACAAGTATGGGTCGTGTAACTATACGTATATGCAAACGAAACAGAGGAGACTCGACAGCTTCGTATACTATATCCATCTGCGTGTATGTATATGTATATATACATCGTAAAAATTGGGACAAAGTTATTATAGTATTGTCCAAGGACCAAGGGAACAGAGTACAGTCCGCACACTGGACGCCGGTAGGTACTTTACCTAGTGGTGCGTGGGTGTGTGTGTGTAGAGGGGAAAGGCACATAAGGTACACCGACGCCTGCACGAGTGACGCTTACACGCAGTGGCAACGCACCGCACCGGCTTCCGAGCTAAAAAAGTATACACCTCGAAACGACCGAGCGCGTGAGGAGTGCTTTTACGGCCTCCCACTCGCGCGATCCTTTCACGTATTTTACATGGACCGGCTTGAATTTTATGTAAAATGTATTCACGCATAATGCGGACAACAATTACTATAGCACTACGTGTCACGTGCGGCACTCTGGGAGAGCTTGACGACGACGGCGCACCCGGTGGCGTCGTAAACGAGCTACGATCAACGGCGTACTAGCTCGGCGGCGCCCTGGTTACTCCCGGCTCTACCGTTCTTCCGCCGCTGGATGGGGAGCACGAGCTACCGGAGTCGGAATGAAAGACAGAGAGAACCAGAGTTGGCCCCCGTGCAGTGCACACTGTGGCGTACCAGCGCCGCCACTCGCCGTCCTCCCTCCCTCCGTGTCGCGAGCTTGCAAGCTCTCGCAGCTCCCTACTACTCTCTCTCTCTCTCTCTCTCTCTCTCTCTCTCTCTCTCTCTCTCTCTCTCTCTCTCTCTCTCTCTCTCTCTCTCTCTCTCTCTCTCTCTCTCTCTCTCTCTCTCTCTCTCTCTCTCTCTCTCTCTCTCTCTCTCTCTCTCTCTCTCTCTCTCTCTCTCTCTCTCTCTCTCTCTCTCTCTCTCTCTCTCTCTCTCTCTCTCTCTCTCTCTCTCTCTCTCTCTCTCTCTCTCTCTCTCTCTCTCTCTCTCTCTCTCTCTCTCTCTCTCTCTCTCTCTCTCTCTCTCTCTCTCTCTCTCTCTCTCTCTCTCTCTCTCTCTCTCTCTCTCTCTCTCTCTCTCTCTCTCTCTCTCTCTCTCTCTCTCTCTCTCTCTCTCTCTCTCTCTCTCTCTCTCTCTCTCTCTCTCTCTCTCTCTCTCTCTCTCTCTCTCTCTCTCTCTCTCTCTCTCTCTCTCTCTCTCTCTCTCTCTCTCTCTCTCTCTCTCTCTCTCTCTCTCTCTCTCTCTCTCTCTCTCTCTCTCTCTCTCTCTCTCTCTCTCTCTCTCTCTCTCTCTCTCTCTCTCTCTCTCTCTCTCTCTCTCTCTCTCTCTCTCTCTCTCTCTCTCTCTCTCTCTCTCTCTCTCTCTCTCTCTCTCTCTCTCTCTCTCTCTCTCTCTCTCTCTCTCTCTCTCTCTCTCTCTCTCTCTCTCTCTCTCTCTCTCTCTCTCTCTCTCTCTCTCTCTCTCTCTCTCTCTCTCTCTCTCTCTCTCTCTCTCTCTCTCTCTCTCTCTCTCTCTCTCTCTCTCTCTCTCTCTCTCTCTCTCTCTCTCTCTCTCTCTCTCTCTCTCTCTCTCTCTCTCTCTCTCTCTCTCTCTCTCTCTCTCTCTCTCTCTCTCTCTCTCTCTCTCTCTCTCTCTCTCTCTCTCTCTCTCTCTCTCTCTCTCTCTCTCTCTCTCTCTCTCTCTCTCTCTCTCTCTCTCTCTCTCTCTCTCTCTCTCTCTCTCTCTCTCTCTCTCTCTCTCTCTCTCTCTCTCTCTCTCTCTCTCTCTCTCTCTCTCTCTCTCTCTCTCTCTCTCTCTCTCTCTCTCTCTCTCTCTCTCTCTCTCTCTCTCTCTCTCTCTCTCTCTCTCTCTCTCTCTCTCTCTCTCTCTCTCTCTCTCTCTCTCTCTCTCTCTCTCTCTCTCTCTCTCTCTCTCTCTCTCTCTCTCTCTCTCTCTCTCTCTCTCTCTCTCTCTCTCTCTCTCTCTCTCTCTCTCTCTCTCTCTCTCTCTCTCTCTCTCTCTCTCTNTTTTTTTTTTTTTTCTTTCTGTTTCAATAGAAAGTTTCAACGAATGACCTACATTCCCGGCTCGAGCGTCTCTACTCTGTTTACCCGTCAGTTCTTTGAGCGCCAGGTAACCACGTCGAACAAGAGCCACAACGAAGTCATCGACGACGGCCATCAATTGCATCGATCCCTCTTTGTCTTTCTTTGCTCTCTCGGGCTATTCAATATCAATTACAGCCCTCGTGTTTCATCCCAGTGTCACGTAGGACTCGTTAACAAGGGACCCACAACCGGACGCTGGTCTTGGTACTTTTTTTCTTGTCCCCTCCCCTTGTACTTGTATATTAAACAGTATTGCAATGAACAAATGTGGAAAAATAGTAAAAAGCGTAATCAAGATGTACAAGCGTCCAACATAATATAACGCAGGATGACACCGAAGTACACAAAGTATTCGGTACCTATCGGGCTCTCGAATAATAAGTCAATTACCTTGCGCAGGATAGCCTGCGGAGTATAGGTCGTCGTTTCATCGCAAAAAATGGTTGATCGGTGTCATTGGATAATACATTGGCCGCCAATGAGGCAAGCGCATGTCTCGCATGAATATTCAATCAATCACCGGATAATTAAGAGGGAAAAACAGAGTGTATGAGGTATTTATTAGGGTAGGGCCCTTGGGCCCGAAATAGCCTCAACGGTTGGGTAAAACAATCATGCTAAGCAGCAGCTTTCTTGTATAAAAGCCAAGGAAATACAACAAATGGCTCGTACACTTGTTGTGTAGTAATTAATTCATACGAGTTGATTTGAAATTAAATTTATCAAGTAATTAAATTTAAAAGAAAAGACTATATAGTACGTGGAAAAGTGCCCAAAAATCAAGAGAGAGAAAGAGGCATTAAAAACGGGGGGGGGGGTAGGATTGGCTTACCTTGAAGTGGGGCTGGCCGATGAGTTCACGTAGTTCCCGGAGATCGCTGCGCTCGAGGTTTCGCGACGAGGACCTCTCCGCTTCCCGTAGAAGCTCCTCGACCTCGTGGGCTCGCTGAACCGCGTCAGTTTGGGGTGGCCGACAAGGCGACGGTACGCTCGTCGCTATTCTGTCGTAGATCTGCAAATTTGACGCATCAATCCATTAAAACAGCTCCGTCCGGGACAATCGTTCATTCATCGACACGCGAACATTTCATTACTTTAATGGCTCATTTGTGCATCGATTTCGGCTTTCCCGACAAAAAAGCCTTTCACGCGCTCTCACTGCGGTAACTTTGTCGCCCGAAAAGTGCTATGGCACGAAAGCTTGGAAACGAGGTGCGTTCGTACATTCATAGACACGTGGCAAACCTATCGACAAATGTTGCGTACCATCTAGGTACTTTCATCAACTAAGTAATTCGTCTATTTTGTTCTTCGACTGAGGAAATCAAGCAATTGGATTTATCATAGCGAGCTGCTTGGGTAAAATTTTGTTTACCGAATCATCCATGAATGCAATTTCAACTACTCTTTAATATATGGTGTATGAGCCACAAATTTGGAAATCATTGAGTAGAAGAGCAGGAACGCCCAATGAAGGAAAAAAAATGGCACCAAATCCAAATTAATATGTTAAAAATGAAACGGTTGAACGGAAATTATGTGTCGTATGAATATTCATAGGGAGCATCGTGCTGATTAATCGGTGAAATCATACGTTTGCGTAAACGTGTTTAAATGATATTTTTGTGACTGATGTTTTAAACCAACAAAGTATCGAATAAACAAATTGGATTCGGCAAAAAGATTTATCTAGCCGATATTTCATTGAAACCCACAAATTTTGTTACAACAATTACACCCCCGCGAAGGTAAGGTGACTTTTAATTTTCACTCTAGTGAAAATATATGGGAGCTCAATTCGACACATGGGCCAGTAACATAAACACAGAGAGAGGCTCTGGACTCGATCGTTATGACACGCGCGCGCGCGCGCACACACACACACACACACATGCAAGAAAAACGACTCACCATCAAGCCGACGAGCTCGAGCAAGTCCCCAATGAGCTCGGTCTCCCCGATGAGCATCAGCTCGCAGTGATGCATGTCTTATTATATTTTGTTACTTTTGTACAAATGAAATAACCGATCGGGGAAGGATTGACGGGAAAAAGAGGAGCTAAACCGGGTAATCGCCGCCGCTGTAGATGACAGGCGGCGGCGGGGGGGCGCTCACTCAGGCGGTCGTGAAGAATATGATGAGCAGAGCGAAAGAAATGAAGAAGAAGAAGAGGATCATGAGGAAGAGGATGACGGGTGCCTGACGGCGCAGGTACATCCGGGACTGCGACTCGGCCATCGTCAGCTGCATCGTACTTCTCATTGACATTATTGTAGGTACCCGCGCTCTTTCTGATGGCTTTCCCCTATCCTCCGTTATACACCCCGTCAACAACAATACACCGTAGCTCTCGGCCCACTGCGCGGATATGCTTCTGCGCGCCCTCTCTATCTCTCTCGTTCACAGCTTCCGAGCACCCTTAGACGGCCATCTTGACGAATCACCGGCAAGGGCTTTTCTCTCTCTCTCTCGTTTTATCCGTGGACCAACCCTGTTATACTTGTATTATCCTTTTTCAACGACGCATGCGAGCTTTTGGCGCAATTCGAGCGAGAGAGAGAGCTTTCGCGCGCACCCACGGACGGTGGCTCCTCCACGGGGACACGATGAACTAATAGCCGGCCGCAACCGCAAAGATGATGATGATCGGAGGAGAACGAGGCTCGCAGCGCCGCGGTTCGTCGGATACTGATACTAAGCGTGTTATCAACGAGGGTGCGGGAGTCGCGCCGCCGCAGAATCTCACCCCTATACGTGCCATCGATCGATGGGGAACTGTACTCTGCTCCTGTCGCTACTATATATGCTTCAATGGATTTCCAGGTCTAGGGGTTGTCAGCGACAGCCTATCTTACCGATTACGAGTAACAGCGGGCTCTAATTTTGCTTCTTCCTACTTTCGTTGGACGCGTCAAGAAATTCACTGTACAATCGAACTTGATAACGGACTATGGGTACCTACTTTTTTTTTAATTTTTTTTTGGGCACGGGTGGATTTGTAGGAATCGATTTTTCACAGCACACACAACGCGATTTTTCGGTAAAGTGCGGGCATGGCGTAATTTTTTTTTGTCTCACCTCAAGTAACGCCCGTAGCCGCTTGTCGTCGACGACTGCTAGAATCTCCGATCTGCTTAGCCTGTCGCTTTCGTAGAGCACCTCGATGTCGTCCAACGAGTCCAAAATCTCAGCGACAACTCCTGTGAAAAACAATGAAATCAATTATTCGGCCAACTCGATCTCATCGCTACGCGCACGGCTCAAACATGCATTGTATCTTGCTACAAAGGTAATTTTGCAGCAGCAAAAACGACAGCGATCTGTGTATATATAGGTAGTGGTGGGTATACACAAACACACACCACGAATTCGCGCGCGACCTACAAGGGACAAAGATGCTGTTGCTGACCCATATAACGTATGTATATGTATGTGTGTACCTGTGGTCATGACTTCGTCGTCGCAAGCCTCGTAGTAAGTGTCGCCGTTCGCCTCGGAATACGGGGTGTGCCACTTTGGGGAGGATACCGCGGCCTTGACCGCCGCCTTCAATTTTCGTCGGGCGTTGAATTTCTTCAGCTCCTCGATTGTCTCGCCCAAGTGTATGCGCGCCACTCCCTTGTCCCGGTCCTGCAACGAAACGAGAAAATTACTTTTTTTTTTTTTTCCATCCCCTCCGTCAATCGGTACACAGAATATACCGAAGGATGCTCTTGCTCTCCAATCGCAATACTACGTATATACACATTACGTGACATACTTGCTGCGTCCACAAAGTCACCAATGTTTATGTGATTGATGGGTAAAGTTAAGGTGACGAGGAACAGCAACAAAGCCTAACTCCTTATTGTACTTGTTGCAAAGGGGTTGAAACGCACCCTCGTACTGAGCCCGAGTCCTTGAAATACTTTTTGGTGGGGTTTTTCAGAAGCAAGCCTGAACTCTCGTACCCCCGTTGCTCGATAAAATTTTCGAATCTCGTATATTTTGGCATGGACAACGAATATGGAGCTTTATTACACGCAAGGATTGATGAGATATACACGTGTGCATGGTGATGAAGCCCATACGCCCTTTTTTCAATCGCGAGGGCGAGAGAATAGCCGTGCCTATAGTTGCGTGGCCACGTATACGTGTGAATATATGGAGCGCTCGAGCGGGTGGATAACTCGAGTAAAGCAAGAGAGAGAGAGAGAGAGAGATAGTTAATAGGGGGGGGGGAAGAGTGTGGTGCTCGAGGAAAAAGGTAAAGGTGGCCGCACGCCTAGTTTATTTCCATTAATCGTCCGAGGTAGCCCTCCCGGGAGGAGCGGAGCGGAGGATCGATCGATAACCCACTTGCACGTGCACAGCATCCAACCGTGGATGCACTGTACCTGCATACACTCCCTTTCCCTCGACGATCATCCCTCCATCACCCTATATACACAACATGTGCCTTTACACTTGTGCTCTAAAAAAACCACGTCACGGCTTACGCACTGTACATGGGTGCGACTCCGTGGTACGTCACGTCGGGAAACACCAAGATTTTCATCAAAAGGGCTTTCACCAAAAATTGTGGCGGATATGCAGTTTTTGGTAAATATTTTGCGGGACGTGCTTTGATTTCCCTGTTTCTCTCGCCCCGACAATACGTGGTAGCTCTTGACGAAGAGGGGGGGAACGAAAATAAAAAGCACAATAGCCATGCACTTACTCGGAGCCATTTGTGGTTGAGCACCTCCGCGATGGTGATCCTGCGGCCCGTGTCCAGATTAAGCATTCGCTGGATTAGATCTTTCGCCGACTCGCTTATCGTGTCCCACACCGGCGAATCCATCTGTAAAATCACCACAGTCGTCACTCTTGTTTCGATGTCTTTTTTTTTATTTTTTTTTTATTTTTTTTTTTCACTAGAAATCACTTTTTTTCCAAAGCCTCCGGATGGGCGATATTTTTATTTTTGATACGCACAAGTACATGGAGTATAGAAAGGACGTACCTGGACTCTGCCGCGGCAAATCGCGTCCCTTAGACGCTCCCGCGAACCGACGAACGGAAGCGTACCGGTGAGAAGAACGTGGAGCAGGACACCTGCCGACCAGACATCTCCCGGTTTGCCGTACTGCCTATGCCGTATTACTTCCGGTGCCATAAAGTGCGGACATCCGATACGACCTGCATATCAGCAGCAGCAGCAGCAACCACGGACCATCAATAAAACAGCTTATTAAATTGCACGTGGCGTAGTATCTCGTAGCATATGAATTTATGTATCGTACATATACTATTTGGGTGTATATGTACTATTTGGGCTTGTTTGCTCGATATGCCGGATACACGAATGTCGCGAAAATTTCAATGGCATCCTTTATTTCCTTGACAAATGGTGTTTATTTGCATTGATTCCCGTTGCATATTATTATTGCACATCACCGTACAGGGTAAAAAGCTTTTAAATGACCACAAATTAATAACAACATTGATAACTCCAGCAATTATATTTCACCAGCTTTACCTAATCAAATACAGTATTTATAACAAGAAAACGTTGTTTTTTCGTCATAACTTTTTTTTCTTTCTTTAACGTGTTCACAATACATATAGTATAATTTGCTTCGATGTAACCGATCAAACAGTCGATAAGCAGTAGATCGACTTGTGTTACTTACCAATGATCGTTAATTTATTATTCACCTTAGTACCGTATAACGCGTAAAATTTGCAAATAATTTAAAAATTCCAAACAGTCGCGTTCGAGGAGGAAATTCGTTGATAGAAAAATTCTTCGAGTACCGCACGCGTTCCGTATACATCGTATTTCACGTGGCAGGAAATAAAGGATACAAGCTGGCAAGTATTACGTAAAACCATCGATTAAAACAAAGTGTGGATGTTTTGTGGTTGACGAGCAACGTTTACCAAACAGCTATGATTTAATGCAATGAAACGTTAATCGCAAGCGATCGCTCGATCGAACGAGTACTTCTGGCATGCTTGCGTATAGCAAACAATACGTTCTTACACGTACACATAAAACAGGAGGTGCATCAGCTACGTGTATGTATGTACAACGATATGGGAGGCAAAACAAACGGATCTATTCGCTACGATGTCGTGGAGGTGTGATGCGCTTATAAGTACAACAAATCCTACACCGCGGGAAGATGAACAGATTTTTTTGCTCAACCGGTACAGAGGGATGGAAGTTCGTAAGGACGTGTATTTTTTTTTATTTATTTTTTTTTTTCAAGTGCACATCAGAAATTGTATCTATTAAAAAACACGAAACTCAAAGTGAACATTTTTGTCAATTGATGCAGGTGAATCAACGAATGATAGAAGTGTAATGTATAATATGTACCATTAATGTCAAGTAGTATAATATACTTGTGATATGGACGTAGTGAGAATAAAGTAAACATTGAAGATGATAAATCTCAGGCAAGTATGAGATGAAACAAAAAAGGGACGGACGCACAGAAAATGAGGGATCTGAGTAGAAAAAGCACATCTAGACGTGAGGTCGACGAATATGCACAAGTACGTATAGGTGTGTAGTGTAAAATGGCCAAACGAGACTCAAGAATTGCTACGATCTTCTGGGATAAGTATCTACTGTTTGAATAACAATAATAAAAACTAGTTATCTAAAAGCACATCAGATTTTAAAATCGATTGATTTCGAAATCTGTATTTGAAGCGAGACTCAAAATTTTATCGTATAAAAAACGACACAACGACAACACGATCACTTGGTTTTCACTTGCAAACAATTACTACTATCGTTATTATTGTACACAGTAATAATATTTTACACAATTTTTAATGTGTATCGTATATTGCACAAACATTGTAAAGTTTAATTCAATTTCATGATAAGCTGATTCACAAGCTGCTTGTAAACTTAACTGCGAGAATAGAAGGCGTCAGGTCGAGGCAGTGATAAAAATGAAAAAAAAAATTGTACATTTAGGTACTTACCAAATGGAAATTGAAAAACTGACGGTGAAAAAACCTTGAGACGTAAGAAGAAAAAGTGGCAATTAAAGTAGTAAATAGGTACTTGTAATCTCAGGCTGTATACAAGAAGGTGTGAAATCTCGAGAAAAAAATGCCTTCTAGTCTCGCGTTTTATTCATTCAAAGAGTATTGACACAATACAACACAGACAACGTATGTGTGTGTGTGTGAGCGTGTATTTGTGCGTGTATACGGATATATGCCGGTAATACCAATGTGGTCCTCAGCGTCGCTCATAAGCGAGTCCTCGGCATCGGTAAGGTCTTCAAAAGGGAAACTGCAGCTTGTGGATGCCAATCCTAGCAAAAGACAGTTTTTGTTTTGTTTTGTTTTTTTTCTTCTTTTTTTTTTTTTTTTTATTATTAAAGAAGATTCGTGCGCATCTTGATATCTACACCTGCCATTCGTTCGTTTACACTGCTTTGGCGATTGGTACATTGATTTAGGAGAGTATTTTTTTTTTTTTTATTTCATTTCAATATAAGTTTCTGACAACGTGACACTTACTATGCTATTGATGTATCATTTGTGCTTGGAAATTTTGTAAGTGTACTTTTGTAAAGTGACGGACAAAAATTTTGTGGTTTGATTCTCATTGTATGGGTACATGAAGTCGAAACACTGACTTCTACGGTACGATGCAGTCATCGAATGATAAATAATAAATAATAATGATAATAATAGTTCGAAACGCCAACAGAGAGACATCGAATTAAAAACAAAATAATGTCGGGAACCAGATCACACACAGTGCGTGTATACATTCGTGACAAATATTTTAAGGATCAATGATAAATAAACAATACGTGTAAGTAAAGAGATAAGGAGTGAGAAAAATATTTTGTGGGTAATATTAGGCATACTGTGCTGTGAAGGCATTGCTTGAACGTGGCAAGTATAGACAAGCTGAACAGGCGCATGTGGAGGTGTTGTTTGATGCATGTATAATGACACGTGAGGATTTTTTTTTTCTTTCGTTAATTGCAAAACACATAAGGTGAGAACCAAATGGCTTGTGATGAAAGAATAAGCACAATCATTATTAATTTACGCAGCAAATAAATGCGAGAAAATAGGGATATCCCGCAGAATATGTGATGAGTCAAAAAAAGGAGGTTGTTATCTGATACTTGATTTAGCTTTAATTTTTAGGTTGGATGTTTTTTTTTTTTTTTTTTGTTTTCTAGCCAATAAGCTTACCCTCATCGTCGACCTTCAAGTAGACCCGCCCCTTTGGGCTCAGATACGGCCGATATTCAGTCGTGTACGTTTCTAAATTCATTGAAACGAAATTCCGAAACAACATCCAGGTTTAATTATTGAAATTCAATGCAGAAATGCCTGTATAGTTTAGGTGTGCAGATCATTTAGCCAAATGTTTCATATATTACGTAGATATGCATACGTGTATGTCCATTCTCGTGTGTGTCACCTATATTTTTCGATAACGTTATTTATCATGTCCTTCAAGGCACACGAATGTCTCTTCAAAACATCATTGTCCTGTTCACGGTGTGAATCGATACTTTATCAAGCCGCAGAGCGTGTACGTATTTTATGTGCGGACATTTTTTAATAGAGTACATGAATGCAGAGCAATTTTGATTACTCAACATTTATATTTCATATATATCATAAAAAAACATGAATTTTTGGAAGAAAATTCATGTTTTCTTTACAAAAATAAATGCCCTATGCCTTGAAGGAATCTGTACGTTGGAGTTATAATAATAATGATAATGAAAGAAAAAAATATGCATTAAGTGTTCTTTAGAATAATTTCAAATAATTTAAGAACTACGTAAAAGTTGATAACTAAATTAATTACGAAAATAACAATCACAACAATAAAAACAACATCCATCAAAAGCATCGTGACAATCAAGTCGTATGGTTCTTAAATTATTTGAATATAAGAAAGAAAAAGAAAAAAAATGTTATAAATTATTAAAGTTTAAAATGTATCGAAAAATAAAATTTTGTTTGCTTTCTTCGTTACGTGTGTAAATATTTTTCAAATACCGTCACTTATATACGTATAAATTCTAATCTAAGTCGGTCAAAGTTTTCTAAATAAAATCGACAAATCTACGTACTAATTTAATATCTGCAAAAAAAAAGTATAACGAAAACCTATCTCCGATGTAAAAGTAGGTGTATGTGTACATATTAGGTGTGAACAAAAAAATGTATGTACTAATTGTCAGTGACGATAAGTAGAAGAGACATCAGGCAATGAACGCAATACATGGATCTTGGCCCATACAATATATATAATGCCGAAACAAACAGTGCAAATTGAGCCTCTAAGAGGCTCGTACATCATAAATATACTTGTGGTCACAAAGTAAATTCTAGTTGAAAACTGGCTTAATTGCCGTGTACTTATTCAGAGCCATCGGCCTTTGCCGCACCAAAGCAAACTCAAGTGACTAACTCTCTCTCACTCTCTCTCCTTTCTCCCCGTGGCTCCCTTTTGCTCGCGCGTACGGGTAAGTATATACATGCATAACAAAAAGACACAAATTTCTCACGAGTATAGTGCTAATGCACATACACCTAGTACGTATTGTACACGCATACAAGGCCACCAGCCCTTTGGTTAGTTGATTCATTGGAGGGAACAAAGTGTTCGGAGCGTGCAGCGTAACCTCGTTTTCCCGGTGGTAAAGCGCCGAGGGGTTGGCTCGTATACATCGTGCTCGCGCTCTCTTCCACTGGATCGCCCGATAATTTTCGCAATCATCCGTGGCACGTCTTTCTCTCGGTGGCTATCGAGACATACCCGAAAGTTTGAGGCTTCTTCAATGAAACCGGTACAACCGAGCGCCAAATTCTCAATGGCGTGGCGTGTGGTAGTAATCGAATCGGTATGCCTTGATTAAACCATCGAGGGGCCGCGGGTGAGGGAAGAAGCGCGGGCACACACAATCAAAATCGATCTCCGCGCAATAACGCGCGTATACAGTGATGGGCATACATAGTGTCGATCGGGCGAGCGTCGTCCACGTTAGCTATATATACGAGTGTAATGAGTACATCGGACGAAACGAGAGCTCTCCTCCTCGGTGGCCCTAAAACACCCCGACTATCCGGAAAAATAATGCTGGTACCTGCAGTGATTGATGACCAGCCGATAGACGGACAAAGCCCACAATGGACCGAGAAGCAAAACAACAAGTATATATATATATGTCATTACGTTAGGTTCATGAGACTTGAAGATTTCAATGTGAACGGGGGAGGGGGGGGGGGCTTTTAAACGTAGGCATATTTATACGCATGGGTTTCAATTTAATGTATCAACTTAACTTTGATTGATTGATCTAGCCGCGGTCAAAATACAAGCTCACTGGTGTAAAAACAACGACGGGGGAAGCCTACTTTAAGCTGAAAAATTCTATCAGTTGCTGAAATTGCTTGATGGTAAAAATATATTTTAGATAAATCCGTTTCCTCCCATGAGAAAAAATAAAGATGGTGGTTGGAGTATTTAAATGGAGCTTCATTGGTCAGCAATGGGATGAGAGTGGCCGAATGGAAATTGAGACCGAGTGAGTATAATAAAAGATCAAGGGACATAGCAAAGAGGGAGAGAGAGAGAGAGAGAGAGAGAGAGAGAGAGAGAGATGCATCTAAAGTATAATAATGGTGTAGTCATCAGCGAGGGTGTGGCCCCGTTGTTAATTTGTCGTAATGTGTAGGCGTGAGGTAGGAGCCGCCCTACTTACCGACGCCGTTTGCTTGTGAGGAGGGCAGCTGGACGGCCACGCCGAAGCCGCGCAGCTTGACCGGTGCCGAGTTCTCCTCGCCCGCGAGGAGGGCGCACTGCGGCTTCAGGTCCCGATGGATTATGTCGTTCTCGTGACAGTAGCGCAACGCCTCCAGAATTTGCCGCATGTAGTGGCTGTAATTTGCATTTCCACGTTCACCAAATTTTCGTTTTTTTTCTTTTTAGTTTTTTTTTTTCATTATATAATTGGAGTATCATCAAGCGTTTTCAGTCCATTACGGTGATACTGTCAAGGTACTTTTTCATGGCTTTTTTAAACGTTATCTGATTGGTACGCGGCGCTTATAGTTATTTTTGGAGGTCAAATGAGTGTGGTATTTTTTTTAGTCATCCCTTACTGTTTTTTAACGAATGGAGGCGACATTCGTAAAATTTTGACTCACTTGAATGTAGGTACATTTTACCAGTTGATGCATATAGCAAAGGATAAATTTTCTTACACGTGCCAGCAACTGTTCACATTTTTTATTTTATTTATAAATATCGTTAATCGCAAGTAAACGGCTAGATGATAAGTTTATCTTTGCAGAATCAACACCAAGTACATTACGTATAAGATGCTTGCTTGTCTGGATAATTAACAAAAAACACATGTAAATATATGCGCAATCGTGTACTAAAATTGGCTAGTACACGATGATACGCGGAATATCTATATTAAAAAAATAATATTAATAAAAAAAAAGACCCCGGGGCAGAAACCTTTGTCTGGAAAATATGATTCGGGACTTTACTTTTTTTAAACGTCTCTTTGAACACGTGATATCAACATTGCGATAATTCATTGACGCACGTGTAAGACGCGTATCTCTGCGAGCTTTCCTTTAAATCGACCGATTCGTTTTCAATCACAAAAATTGGGTACCGATAAGAAAATCAGAGCACTCGCGTGATTCGATTAATCACGCGCTTTTAAATTCACATACTTCAAAAAGCCAGGATGGTTCTAATGCCAAGGGCACATTGTACGTAAAAATCAATAAGTATAATTAATGTAGAAAGATTTCTTTGTGTGCGCTGTTTAATCGGATGATTGGTTGTTCACGAAAATCGGACCGATTGATGTCTCGGTAGAGTGTATTTTTTTGTTCTCCAATGAGAAAACGCATCGGCGAACCGACAAGTACTCACCTAGCTACAGCTTCGCTGTAAACGAAGCCAGCCGTGGCGCGTCTCACAACCTCGAAACACAAATCCGATCCGCCCATACTGTGGACACAGGTGATGGAAACAAATTAAAACGCAAGAAGATGACTATGATGATTAATGGAAAAAAATTAACAAATGCGATGTCTTAATTACTTACTACTCGAACACCATGTACAGCATACCCTCGGAGCTGTACGTCTCGAGCAATTCCACTATGTGGGGGTGCTTTAGCATGTGGCATATCGTAGCTTCGCGCTTCAAATCTGCAAAATTTAAGCAGTTTTCATGCGACGGGCAAATTATTATCTTACGCATATGCATATAATATACACGTCCTTCGGCCGAGAGATTTCTTATCGTGCATCGAACGAACCCGTACACGCACCGATACAGATTTACATGCCCAATCTGCGATAAAACCATCTATTTGCATTCATTTTCTCTGAAAACGCGTGAAAATTTAGAAAAAAAAAAAAAAATTAATATTCAACAAAGAATAAAGTGTCAAACGCGGGTTGGAGAAAGAAAAAAATATTCAATGGCGAAAACGAGTTGGTGCCCGGGGGAAAGAAAAAGTTTGTTCGCGTGCACGGCTCGATTTAAGCGGTTGGGAGGACCAGCTCGAGAGGCGTGAAATCGGCGGGCGTTATTATTGCCGGCCAACAGTGCAGATAATTATGTACACTCCAACGCGGACTTTTGTCTCCCGGCCGCGACGACAATAGCGCTCTGCTTCTATACGACATACGTGCGTGGCACAGCCCTTTACGGGATAAAATGGCCGTAATGTACGTGTACATATGTATATAAGGGTATAAGCGCGTGTAGCGTATGATTCTGGCAGGCTTCGAAATTCATATGGGTATAACGAGGGGGACAATGCATGCTGAGGTTTTTTTTCATAGGGATATACATATATACATACATATATATATACATGATTTTGCTTACCCGCTGTGCTGAGGCCCGGGCTCGAGGTGAACTTGGCCACGTCGACGATTTTTACGGCGAACGTCTGGCCGGTCTGCCGGTGAATGCATTTCCGTACCACGCTGAATGGACCCCTGCAACAGCACAATCGTGCGACCCATCATTATATATATTAGACGTCAGATCATTTGTGTTGATATCCGTGTATACATATGTATGCATTTTTAATATTATTGTTGAGGTATACATAAGATATTTCGATTTTTTATTAAAGTTACTTTTGGAAAAAAAAAAAACAGAATTAAGAATAAAGCAAGCTCATTGTGTACACACAGTAGTCTATTAAATTACAATTATATTTGAAGTTGAATTAATTTTTTTGGTATGATTTTGGTCTTTAAAACAAAAAGTTTTGCACCAGACCAAACAAAGCAAGCTTTCCACAAAATTAAATTAAATTAAGGTACTTCATGGTTTCGATTTCGTTGTCGTTTCAAAAAAGGTACCGCACCTTTCTTTCTCCCCTAAAACATTCGATGTATGATGATTTGATTGTATAGTTTACAAGCACATTTAACAACAATGACGACAAAAAAGCCATGGGTGATCAACCAAACTTCATTTTAAAACAAAGTTTCCGTATGGATTGTACTTTTGGCTTTTTCGAGTAATCATGACGGTAAATATATACATAAGTAGAGCTTTCAAAAATGAAACGTCCGTTGCACAACAAGACAAAGTTTCTCGATCAACACACAGCTCTGGAGAGAGCTTTACTTTCGTAGCACGCGCGGCAGAAAGGAAAATGAAAGAAAAAAAGAAAAAGAGAAAAAGGAGTGTAAAGTATGAAGAAGCGAGGGAAGGAGAGCTGTTTCTAGTCAAAGGCTGCGTGTGCAGGGAGTAAAGTTTGGAGGGTTCCCCAGAGACTTCCATCCCACAGCGATTCCCAAGTAGTTATACTGTGTGTGTGTGTGTGTGTGTGTGTGTGTGTGTGTGTGTGCACCTGTACTACACCTAAGAACGCAGACAGACGAGGGTATAGTGCCACCCGCTACTGCAAGTATACCTGTAACTTTCTCTTATTCTGGCGTGTTCTCGACGTAAAATCCGGAAAACCAAGAAATATTAAAGCATCACGGTCTTTTGCGCTGTACAATTTACCGCGGGGAAAAAAAAATTCTTGCATCGTTTTGCGAACTGAAACAAGCTTTCTCAAACTCTTATTGTTTGTAGTTGTTTTTTTTAATAAAATTATTTAAAATCTTTAGTTGGTTTTATTTTGTAAATGTAGTATACATAGTCTTGGTGTTGAAAAAAAAGGAAAAAAAAATGTATACATCGCATTACAAAATAAATGGTGTGAGTACACACCTAACGAAGTATTATGCGATTTTTTTTTGCAGTATGCTAGTTTTATACTTCATGTTGTATCAAAGTTTTTTTTTCATTCGTACTATCATGCGATCAACTACAAATTTCAATACCAACTTTTTTTTTACCTTAAAATATTTGCATTAAATTTAAAAACAAAGCGTATTATACAAAAAAGAAATTAGTGTTATTTCGTAATCAACATGAAAATTTAAATTTTTGAAGTCGTGATTTCTATTTCTATACGTTGTACAAAGAAAAGGTGCTTGCATAAGCTTGCGTGATTCTCAGACCCGTTCTAAAAAGTTTGAGTAACTCTTGAAGAAAAAAAAAAAAAAAAAAAAAAAAAAAAAAAAAAAAGAAAAAAAGAAAAGAAAACCTCCTGTTCACTGCAAAAACGTAATTCCGATAAAACGTGTACCACGCATACCTTCGGTCTCAGGAGCAAACGTTAATAAAGTTTGTGCCCGAAGTTGTTGGCTCAAAGTCAATATTGAGAGGAAAAAAAAAATTGGTTTTCTCTTTTTCTTTGTCGATACTTACACTTGTAACTGGAAAATGTTTTTAACATTGATTGCTCGTGCAAGCTTTTGCGAGGAAAACTTTTTTTAATTGGACAACGAAACGGCGATCCTGAATCACCTTTCGCCTTCTTTCAATGACACAATAGATAGAATGGCATCATAATATATAATGTAAGAAGACATCGTCGGAACGCAATCACCTACAAGAAAATAGCACGGCAGTTTGCACAGAAAACAATCGATTGCTTAATTTTCCCATTGATATTTTATGCACGTGACAGACGCACAATGGTTTATTTGGGCTTGTGTCACTCGTAGATGAGACTAGTGCAGCTTTCGCGATATTGAACTCCGATAGTTTGCCAGTCATCGGTGTGCCGCTTCCCCAGAACTACGCTATACTTTATCCCAAAAAATAACCTAAGGCAGGTATAGAATATTGGTAAATATTGGAATTTTTTTTTTTTTTATTGCTTGATTCGTGCGGTCTCTTGTCTATCTGCTAGTGTTGTGGTGTGCAACTGCATATATTTTCCTTTTTCGCGGTGCACAGGAAAAACTTCATGTTACGGATGGTTACACTTTGTTCCGTACGAGTCTGAAAATGCATGTAACTGACACGGGTTTTGGCTTGAATCTCACGCAACTTGAAAACAAATTACTTGAAAATTTTAAACACGAAAATTCCACCAAATCCATTTGATCGATCAGAAAACCTCATGCACCGCGAAATGACCCACATAGATATTAAAAACTTTTTTTCTCTCCCACCCTCTCGTGCTCCTTTAGATGAGCTTTTTTTTTGCCCCCAGACAATCTCTAATGAGTGACAATATTTTTTCTGGAACATCGCCGTTCCTCTTTATTTTTCGGTACCTAATTAGGCCGGAAGGAACGAGTTATGGGAGGCAATTTTTGTAACGATAACTAACGACGTTACTCAGATCTCGTAACAAAGTGAATAAAAAACGAAACACACTACCTGATGAGTGAAGCATGTACGCATTAGATAACCGCAAAAGAGCGTACGATGATAAAATAATGTAATAAAATTAAGAGCGTTTTTTTTTTTCTTCAAGTATACGGTGTCGTGGAGTGGCAAAGAAAAAAGTGTGACTTACTTATCGGGCGAGAGATTTGCTGTATAAAACTCGAGATACGAGGTAGCTCGTGCAGCAGTCGAGCAGGAACGATGAGGATCTCTTTACCGATCGTCTGGACGATCTTGGCTATCGAGGCCAGCAGCTCCATTCAAGGTAAATATTATCTTTTTTTTTTTTTTTCAATTTTTATTTTTCGTAACTCATGGCTGGACGACATTGTTACTCGACAAATGGAGTTTGCTTCTCGTTGTCTCGATAAACCATGAAACTCACTTTGCAACGCCTTCATTAATTAAAAAAAAAAAAAAAAAAAAAAAAAAAAAAAAAAAAAAAAAAAAAAATTCCAGAAGGATGCGAGTTGTCGTTGGAGTACCGCACCGGCGACCTGCGCGAACCGCAACCACTGATCCTGGCCGACACCGCCTTAGACGAGCAGCCGGCCTTCCTACTGCCCAACGCGAAAAAACGCCTCGTGATCCCGAAAAACGCGAGCATCGTGCTCTCGTGCCCGGGAAGCAAAAACGGCCTGCTCAACTTCACGGAGCCGCGCCGATCCGCGCGCGCGACGTGCCTCAAGGGCAAGCACTTCCTCGTGACGAATGGCCGTGGACTCGAGGTGCGCGAGTTCAGCGAGTTCAGGTGCAAAACGGGGGCGAGGGACACGGTGCGCAAGAGCCAAGCCACGTGCCTCGACAACCAACACCAGATGTACGAGATTGGCTTCGAGCTCCGGAGGGGCGTCTTCCTCAAGCTCCTCGACATCTGCCGGGACGACAGCAGGTACGCAACGCGCTACGTCAAGTCGCGACTACCCCGGGAGATCCTCGGCCACCAGAGCAGCTATCCCCGGCCCTACTGGAAGTACGGGCCGTACTACGGGTCGTACGACATGCGCAGGATATACCGGATCGAGTCGCAGCTCGGCTCGCTCGAGGCCCAGTTGGGCTCGGCCGAGCTCGCCCGCGACTACATACGCCCCGGCGCGCAGTTCCTCAACCGGGGCCACTTGGCGGCCAAGGCCGACTTTGTCTACGGTAGCCAGCAATCGGCCACCTTCTGGCTCCTCAACACCGCGCCCCAGTGGTCCAACTTCAACGCGGGCAATTGGCTGCGCATTGAGGAGGCGGTTAAGAAGTACGTGGCCGAGCGGGGCGTGGGGCTCGACGTTTACACGGGTGTTCACGGGGCGGCGAGGCTGCCCGGCCCAACGACCGGCCCCGTCCTCTACTTGCACGCTAACGGGACCACGGGGGCGAGGGAGTTCCCGGTGCCGAGGTACTTTTGGAAGGTCATCCACGACGTGGGGGCCAACCGAGCCCTGGCTTTTGTCGGGCTGAACGAGCCTTACGCCGCCAACGTCACCCGGGACATGTACCTGTGCCCGGACATCGGGGACGAGGCTAGCGACAGGTGGATCGGTTGGCAGCCGAGGGTTCTCGCGAGGGGTTTGGCTTATCTGTGCTCGGTGGAGGCTTTGCGGCTGGCGGTGCCGGCCGTGCCCCAGTTGGGGGAAGCCGGTGTGTTGAGCCTCGTTGATGCATCAGGCTACTGATGATGCAGTTCTCGGACATCGTTGCGAGTGCTCGGAAGTGAGGGGTATGAGTGTATTCCGGAGACTGTCGATCCTTCAAGATTTTTTTTTTTCTTTCGGATCCCTCGGTTACCTCGTTTCCTTCGAAACACCGTTAAACTGCGTTTTCAACTTTCGTGAATATTATTTATGACTGTCGCCATAGCTGGGACGTTCCTTAGTGCGTGGCTCAAGGTACTCTTTTGTGCACACGTCTATCATTTACAACGATTAAACGCTGCGTACTGTATTTTTATAAGATATTTGTACATTTTTTTTTTTCCCAAACGAAAATTGTTTGATTTTTTCGTTCATTTTTTATTTTCTCTCATTTTTAAGTTTCGAAGGGTAAAATTTTTTTTAAACGCGTGTACGTATTATTAATTTCTATTATGATCAACGTACACTTTTTTCAGTCGACTGACAGACGAACGTTTATATTTGTGCATAGATGAAGAAATATAGTATCAAGCACACTGAACTGTAAGATAATATTAATCCAAAACCAAAGAATACATTTACTCAAATAAACTTGTCATAGCTCAATACAAGGCTTTTTTTCTAACGTTACTTTTCAATACTTTAAAATATCTTATTAATCGATTTTCTCCACATCCTACTTACCCTGTAAAATTCGTTTTATTATTATTATTTTTTTATTTTTTTTTTCTTCGAAATCCCTTTCAACCACAACTGTTTTCAAATCAACTCTGGGATTTCATGAATTTGTAGCACTGAAATATCTTACTTTTACTTTTTAAGTTATGATCAATTGATCCTTTTTAAAAAATTTCGGCTTTCGTCGTTGCCCTTCTGCAACTCAACAAGAGAGAAAGATGAAGGCTGGGCTGCGCATTTAAAAGTATGAGCTTGAATCATGATTAGTATTCATTTCAGTTCAAAGAAAATATAAATTATTTTTTTTTTGTTTCAATAACTTACTATCTGAATAATTTTACTAAAAAATTCTACGAAAATTACAACGTTTAACAAAACTCCAGAGGTTGGCACGAAACTTCCTTATTTAAAAAATTTCCAAATAAATCGAGAATTTATATTGGAATTCATTTATCTTGATTCATGAATTTAAAATCGGTAAACCAATTCAAATGACTCGAAAAAATTGTTAAAAATTAACGGATTGTTGTGTTCTCTAACAAATATGTTAACGTCTATTACACACATTGCACTGATAAAAAAATATTTATTTACAATTAAAAAATCAAAGCCAACAGAAAAGATTTTACTAGTCGATAAAAACACCAGTACAATCGAAAAAGGAAAACAACCACTATGATATACTTGCCTCAAAAGAAGTTAAATAATCAATGGAAGAAAAAGGATGAAAAGAAAGATTTGGCTATCGAAAACAATGACTGTGTCGACAGGATATACTCGAGTACAAGTATTGCCAAGCTCGTCTGACTTTTATTCAAACATGTATACATATATGTATAAGTGCCTATACCTACTGTGATGGAAATAAAATCAAAGCCTTTTTATATCGAGCATAAAAACTCATCTCAACGTCGCTATTGATAAATATACTTTTTACTGCGTCTTTTGTTAAAAAAAATGTTTTATTCCCAGTTATTGCGCATTTGTGAATTACCCATTGTTCCAATCGAATGCTAATATATTTTAAATAGGCGCCATAATGTCTAATAATATACATTCTACGTGTACAACGCGTCAGTAGGCGTTTCGTCTAAAAATAGGTACTTTGACGAACAAACACGTTGCGTACAAGTGAAACTATATTTTCTCCGTAAAACCAATTTCATGAATAAATGAAAGTTCAATTTGTGGGCTGGGTGGTGGATGTGTTAACGAAAGTGTCAATAATTTCGCCCCCCCCCCCCACCCAATTGACACGACACCTGCAACTTTAAAAGTAATGAGCGCACAGCTTGTTTGTAAAAGCTCGAGGTATTTTATATTTATATATATCCTGAAGTCAACTTGTCAAATTAACAAATAAATTGTTTTTTTTCCTGTAGAGACAATGCCCGGCACACCAATCCCAATAGAAACAGAAAACTGAGGAAAACGAGGGAGCGACAAAAAAAGCGGGAGCCCAGGGTGGTATCTATACTTAAATACATCGGACGTATAGAATTGAAAATTCGTCTGGCAGTCAATTCGAATGGCATGTTGTATTTATACACTTGCACATGTTCTACAACCTATTGAAAATCGTTTTTTGTCGAGTGAGTCCACGTGATATGGCCAAAAGCTCGAATCTAACTACGTATATGAGTTATTAATATCAGTCTATGCATTTATAGCAATAATTAACATTAGCAACATTCTACGTATGTGTATGTGTATGTTGACACCGTCACACCATTTATATATATATATATATATATACNTATACTTAAATTTTGAATTAACAATACTATTGTACCTATTTTTAATTCAAGTACATGAGGTGGCAAGCCTTTACGAATATATATATATATATATATATATATATATGTGACGCGAGCTCAGCGAGCAGACAGCATCACAATATAATATCACATCACGCTTTCTGCTCCGAAAGCTCTTGCACGCGCGGTGTGCGCCAAAACGTGATATTTATTTGATATATAGGTATACAACGTATACTTTCACACACCCCTCTCGTCCTCCATCCTTAAACGCTAAAGCCAAGCCATTCTCGTGTGTGGTGAATGCATGCAGATTACACAAGTAAGTATCAACGTACAAAATCTGATGGGCTACTCAGCTTGTAACAATTGACGTGAGGATGATTGAGTCAACTCAAAACTCCACCTTTTGTAATCGCTATCTTGTAAGTATACAATACAAACGCATACTCTCTCTAGTATAATATAAATGTAGCAATAGGAGTAAGTAGGTTATGTTGTGGGTGTGTAATATATTTTATTCATTCACGTATACCCGAACGCGCGCAGTACTATACTATAAAATATACAACCATACGTACAACGCCGTGACAAATACCGATGGCATCCATAAGAACTCAATGAATGAAAGTAATGACGAAAAGCAAAGTATGATTATGGTTGCGTTTCGGAGTCGTCTACTCGATGATTCATCAGCTGAGACTCACCTGCCAATGATCTCGCAGAGCTCGTAGACGTCGTCGAAGAGCACGTCCTCGTCCGCCATGGCTTGGTTACTGCTACTGGCGCCGCTGGTGCTGCTGTTCTGCCACCGCCTACACCTACAGTACCACTACCAATTTAACCTGGCACCTGCACTTTATTACACACCACCAGCACTAAGCACTAGCTGGAGATCTCTGCTCGTATTTCTTTCGTTGCAGGACCAACGGTGACATCGACCACGACGACGATGATGACGATCCAGGCAAGGGACCTGCCGCAGGTGGCGTCCTGGGCTCGCGGCCAGCTTTCTCCTCCACGAGTCGGGCCCAACCCCCGGCTGCACACGCCCGAGACGCCACTCTGCAGCTATGATTGCGGTGCAGCTGCCCCCAACGTCGACCTGACCGACCGGCTCATTCACTTTATTGGCACTACGTTACATACACCTTTTACACTCTGTTGAACCGACGACGATGATGACTAATTATATACATATATATATATATATATATATATATATTTGAACAATCTTGGTGCAGGTTGTCGCTGTCGTCGCCGACGCGAACAGGACACCGCCCGGCACAGCTATTCCAGTTCTTTTTGATGGCTATAAATATACCTACCACTTGTACAAAACAAGGGGGCGTTAAGGGGAGGAGGCCCGAATCAAGAACCCCAATAGAGAGATAAAGAGAAAGAGTAGGCCCTGAAAAGGACGGGCAGGTATAGCCATACAATAGATCCTACTGTTCAACCGTCATATACGAATGGTCAGTAGCACACTAGCACTGGTAATAATATCACTGTTACGTGGATGGGTCTATATGTACATTACGCATGTACACGAATAAGAGGTAAAAGCGTGGAAAACGAAAATGATGTAGAAAGAGAGAAAGATGAAGGCTGGGCTGCGCGCAGCCGAGGTAGGTGTTGTATATATAGCCGTCCGTCAGCAGTATAAGGAGCAATACCGAAGCTGGATTGATATGATAACTTGTAGGCAGCGAACAACAGACAGCGGACACTGGCCAGGTTGGTTGTACACACACGCACTCACACAACCCACCACCTACACCCTTATATCCGTATATGTCTGCATACACACAAGTGTATGTGTTTATATTTTAAGAGGGTGGTGCGGTGCGTGCGCGCTCTTTCGTTCGTAAGTTGGAGCTGCTCGGAGAGCACCACCAGCGCCAACAACTCGAAAACTGCAAGCAGCAGAAAGCTAGCGAGTGAGCTTGGCTGCATAGGACGCGGGGCGGCGCGCGAAAACAAGCTTCCGGAAGCACTACCTGGGTATTCCTATACCTACTCTGCGAGCAGCTTCTATGCGAGAATAATGATAAGTCAAACAAGTCATTGCGCACGCCCCGCACGACTCTATACTAGAGTCTGCTGGAGTTCTGATCTACATTGTCCCTGCATGTGTGCAGAGAACAGAGTCGCAGACACCCGACACACCGATGCCGATGCTACTCACCTACACCACAGTCACTGGGTACTCGAGCAACGTAGCAATCCGCGGCGTCCATTTACTTTACTTACTTACCATCCTCAGCACGCCCACACTTGGGCGCAGCATCTCGAAGAAAAAACAATAAACAAGCGGCCCCGGCATCGATCTAGATCGGCTCTTCACTCGGCCTGTATGTGTCTCATTCTTCATGCTCGTTTTTTGGTGAAACATGCACCGTATGTACCGTAAAAAAGCACTCTTATCATTTTAATCTTACCCAAACGGGTGTACAACGAGTTTCTGTGACATAAATAATCCCTCGTAAGATCCAACCGATGATAATACGGGCGTGGCGCACATAATATATGTGTATACATACTTACGTAAATACGTACGCCCTACTTGTTCACATTACATACAGGTTTTGTTTAACTTTATACATTAGCTATATAGGTAAGTATCAAGTGTCAAGTTCCCGCCTTAGTCTCTGTCGTCCTTGAAGTTTTCATTGTATTCGAATGATTGCATATTACAATATATAATATTTATGGGGATACAGGAGTAACTACTGCTATCACTGTTATACTCTTCTGACTGTAATGCTTTGCACGCGAGACGTATATCTTTGCCGACTTGCTCTGGTGCTCTCCTGCCGATCGATATCGCGCAACACAATTTGGAGGACTCTTCCGCCCTTTCCTCCGACTCTCCCCCCCAAAATAAAATACTTGGCTCGTTTGAGAGAAAGAGGCCAAGTCTTGTGCTTTTGTTGACAAGCTTTGAAACTTGCACCCTAGAGCTTTGCAAGAAAACATTTACGTGAATGCTGCTGGTACACTCTACGAAAAGGGAAACGTTGGCACATAATTAATATGCCTTTAAATCTTATTTACGGTGACAATGAATACAATTGCCTTTGTGTCTGTCGGTGCAATTAACATAGCGAATAAGATATAACGTCTGTTTTTATAATTAATTTCTTACAATACATGCGCATGCGACTTAATGGGAGACCTAAGCCGTATTTTAAATTACCCCTTCAGCCTTGAGAATTAGGGTGGTCGCACGTCAATGAACGAGGTGTTGGTGCTCTCTAATTCCCGCGCAGCCACCTGCCCTGCGACATTATGAGCGTTTGCGGTCATCGGATGCTGGAAGAGTATGAGAGGAGGAGAGAGAAAGAGCTCAAAGTACCCGAGCCGTTTATAGTTGGTATGGTATATCTATAACGAGGTACCGCTGGTGCATATACGGCCAAGGGTAACAACTTTCATTGATACTGGGATAATAAAGGCATCAATTTTACGAGCGTTAATGAAATTAGAGAACGAGAAAGACATAGTTTATTAGGTACAGCGCCTAACGAAACAATTAAGCGCAAGAACGTACATTACCTGTATGTTCACACAAGAGATTTTTTTATAGCGTGTGAGAGTATGAGGGACTAATTAAACACATGAAACGCGCAAGTTTCAGAAAGTGTGGAAGGAAGACGAGAAGTACCCTTCACTTGGCCAAGTTATCTGCACGGACGGTATTTTTTTCGTGTCGCGAGGCTGCAGTACTCGCCCTCCGTTTCGCGTATTCTTCGCTAAGTATATGGTTATACACTTGCAGCATAATCTAGATCTGGTGAAAAAAAAAAATCGTCTCGTTTTTTCACGGCACTCGTTTCACGACTGCGTGCAATGAAATATTTAACGACGAGCCAACACGTACACTGTAATGGACAATTGTACGAGCGATTCATGCGACTACACAGCACGAACCTTAACAATATGTATAAAGGTGTACATAACGTCGACAGAAATTGCAAAGACCAAAACTATTGTAAAATGCGTGATGTTTATCGATGTTGCACGAATAATTTTCTTATACATATGAATGCATAGGTGCGTGATATCTGCTTCAAGTTACCTTGCGAATAACGAGCAGGTCTCGCTTCTCGAGAACTGCAACTGCATGACAGCATTTTTTTTTTTTTTTTTCAACGTAAGTACTAGTGTCTCGATCGGCTTTCGTCGTTGCCCTTCTGCAACTCAACATAAAATTATTAAGGGATTATATTGTATGTGTATAATATGCCCTTACCTCGCGGTATGCGATTTTCATTTCTGTTATATACATCGATGCAGCGATTGTTTTCAACTATTTCCAAGTTCAAATTACCGATTTTTGCATCGTTAACTTAGGTGAGTATTTGTTTAAAATTTCTTTTGTGCGACGTTTCGTGCTGTCGAAGTGTGATGTGCGTTCGGTTAACTTAATTTTCAAGTGAGCTCGAAACCAGCGAGGAAACATCTATAGTCTAGCTCCTTTTATCTCCTTCATTCTGGATTATACTGTTTGCACCACTGATTTTTTGCTTTTTTTTTACGCGAAAGCGTGCTCAATTTTTTTTTTTCCAACTTTATGATGGTGACCTTCAGCTACCTCGACCTGTTTTCAATCGCCAAGAGAATGGATGAATTTTAACGCCTTTATACAGACACGTATACATAAACGTATGTAGCCTTACTCCAAGGTTGAAGTTTCAGGGAAAATAAATCTATTCCCGACTCGTAAATCACTCGTGATTTGGTGAGCTACTGCTACTATACTAGCGCTGTACTTATCTGGAAAATTTATGACAGTTGCAGAAAGCCAGAAAAAGAGGGTATAAAGAATAATAGTACAGAGTAAGAAACATCAAGATGTTATTATCTATGTAGCAACTTTATCTGAGATAAGCTAGTCCGTCGAGACACTCCTCGAGGTCCTCTTCGCGACCCAAGACGGAGAGTACGAGTATGAGCTTGGTTTTGCCCCATTTCTGGTAAAGCAAGTCAAGCTCCGTTGCAGCAAAGTGCAGCTCTTCGGTGAGGTAGCACAGATGCTGGTGGTTTATACCGTCCAACACGACCAGTTTTTCCCTAATCGAGGGGAGAAGGCAGAGAAAGCTAAATAATCTCAAGGTTGCGTTGATTGCGAGCAGATGTTTAATGATAAATTAGAAGAAAAGAAAAAAGTAATGAAACAAATAAACAAACGGGTATGACCCACCCGCTGTCCTCCCAGTTGTTGAGCGCGTTGACCTTGTGCTTGTCGGAATCAACTTTGAGGAAGAGCTTGAGAAATCCACGCGCCACCTGCAAACATAGTCCAAGGCTGAAAAAAAGTGTCGTGCTAACTTCACTGCTCCCCCAATCTAAACTCTTTTTGTACTCGCCCCGTTCACCCCTACATACATGTATATCCTGCCGTTCTACTTACCGATGCTGCCAAATTTCCCTTGTTCGTGAAGTAGGCCGTGTTTACGAGGCAGAATATCGTGTACTGGGACATGCCATCTTCCGCCCGGAAGCACGAATTTTTCGTGCAAAAGATGTTCTTACTCTTTTTGGCCGTGAAGCTCTCTGGCTGCACTTTTTGCACGTGACGTCTGCAAGTTGGAAAAATTAATCATTTCGCTTGAACACCTGCACACGTAGATGTAAAAATGACGTTTTGAACTCTCTCCCTCTCGACTATTTCATTACATTATGTTCCTGAGGAGGGCTGAACGCCTGTGACATCTGTGTTTGATCGTGTGCTTGGAACAATGCTTACACAACAACGTTGGCGCGGGTTTTGATTGCCTTTGCATTTTCGATAACGTCCTGTCGTCAAGTTATTTGCCGTGACGCGGTTTTCAGCGCAAACGGTGGAAATTGCATTATTGTTTGTTGTCTTTAAACGCGATTCGTATATTATTAAAATTCTTTAGACATACACTTTGAATTTTGCACTCGAAATTTCTAACCCTATTGCACCGTCACTGATCCCCACCAAGAAGAACAAAAAAAAAAAAACACCATCTTTTGCATGGTTTGTAAGTATGCACATGCATATAAATATGAATGTGGCGAATATTATTAAATTTAAATATAATTACTTACTTGTTTTTTCAACTTCATTCATCCAGCAGAGCTGGGCTTTAAAACTTGAGGTACTTATACACACGTACAATTTGCAAAACGAAAAGCAATAAGTTAAGTTGATGAATTAATTTTTTGAAAAATAAACGCATTCATTTTATCAACAGTTTCCCGGTTTGTCATTATGAAATTTATTTTTTTCTTGAAGTTTATTATTGAGTAAATGCATTTGTGCTCAATGAAAACGGAACGGGAAATTGTTATCCCCTGTTTAACCCTATGATAAAAAGTGAAAAATAAAAAGAATCATAGTTTCCGTTACCCTTAAGGGTAATTACTAACTCCCGACGAATGGATAAACATTGTTATACTTAACAACCCCCTCACCCTCTGTAAGTATAATGTATTTGTATTATGTGCGTAACTAACATTCGTTGCCAAGATCGTCAAATCTATCAATGATTGCATTTTTTATCGATATTGTTAACTCTCCGTTTCAAGCATTGTAATCCTCCAACAAGTAAGTAATTTAGTAAATTAGTCGATTTAAGAAAAAAAAAAAAAAAAATTTCTCTCTGTAATTAGCGCCATCTAGCGAGGCTAATTCCGAACTAAAAAGTACTGCACCACTGACGCCACCTGACGGAGAAAACGAAAATGGTTAATATCGTTTAAAGTTTAAATAGGACGTTTTAGTTTAGAATCAGCCTCGCTAGATGGCGCTAATTTTCAACTATATATATCATCATCATCCACTGTGTATACAAAGCATACGCATTAACGCATAAGTGTGTATGCGTGTGTGTATACACGAAATTACGAATATGTTAGAGTGTGAGATGAGACGTGTGTATAAGTGTGTATGCAGTGTATGGCTTTATCTATAGGTAAACTTATACCTATATATATATATCTATAACGCATGATAAAATGTCAACAAGCAGTGAGCGTACGACTGCTATATCTATATATGATTTCATTGCTTTTATTATTTGTTCGATTGTTATATCATAATCTGACTGTGCAATATCTCCCTCTCTCTCTCTGATAACAACGTATAAAGTTGTCTCATCGCGGACCAGTCAATCATTGTATGATTTAAAACATATTGCTCATCTGTCTCTCTCTCTCATATCAAACACCGATCAAATCTAAATTTCGGTCCAACGACATTAATATGTAGTAGTGAGAGCATTAGCATCCTTAATGGATGGGCTTCTAAGTATGCGCTATATGTGCAGTGAGTGATGATTTATAAGTATTGAGTGTCGTTTTATTATTGTTTTCCTCTCAACGGCGAAACGCGCGCGACGAGTTTTGAGGTTAGAAGCTGCCACCGCTGCGGCTCCTCTCGATCGCGCTCGTCGATCGTTATCAAAATTTCCCAGACGAGTTGGGCCGCGATGATGCGCTACTCGCACACGAGCACGTCGTGTCCGGGTACGAGGGTCCATGTTTTATGAGTACAACAGTTTCCGTCAGCGATTACTTGAGACTTTACAACGGAATGTAGACGATAGCACCTATGAATCAGAGCTCGTTTTGTTTGAGTTTCCGAAGAACGTGAGGTGTGTGTGCCTGCGTTTTCCCGGCGAGTTTAAAATACCTGCATACGATGGCAAGTCTCGAGTCGACGACACTAACTCACCAGCCCGGGGAGGCCGCCACTTGGAGGCAGGCCATTGTCTCTCAATTGCGAGAGCGAAACAACAGCCAGACCAAGTGTTTCTATGATCTGATTGGCCTGCGTAAGTTATTTTCAGACTGAGCTGCTTACTTTTAGACTTGACTTTTAGGTGTATTTGGCTCTAGGCAAGGTGGTGCATTCAAGGGCAGGTTTAGGAAGTAATTTTATAAATCTATGTTTGCAGATAATCGCCTATTCGACAATGCCAACACTCTACGAGGAGAAAATCTGCAGCTGTCAATTATAAACGACAAGCTAAGGACTGAGGCATTGAGTGGAACTCCTGGTTTGGCAGCTAATGCAGCTCTTGAGGCTAAATTACTAGCACAGGCAGAAGAACTGTCTGCGTTGCATAAAAGAAGGGGCGAACACACCCAACAAATCGTTGATCTGAATAATAAACTACAGGAAGTAACTAAGGATCTTCAAGCAAAGGAAACTGGGTACTTGAGAGATCTTGTACAGACCTAAAGCAAAATAGCAGTTTCATTAACTTTTTAACAATAATGGATATATTGCGCTTTTAGTTTGGCCGAAATTACAGAGCAAAACAAAAACTTGCAATCAGAAATCGCGAGATACATAACTAAAGAAAAAGAGCTGGAGAACATAAACCAAATGTTAAGGGATGAGCATCAAGCTCTCCAGCTTGCCTTTGCTTCCCTAGAAGACAAGCTTAGAAGAGCTCAAGTAAATAAACCTCATCATTGAACTTATTTCATAAAATTTAGATGTGATTACATCAAATGTATATTTTTAGGAAGAAAATCGGCATTTAGTAGAACGGTTGATCAAATATAAAGCAAAAGATGCTGAAAAAATGAATGAAGAAAACGACAATTTTTTAAAGTAAGTACTGAAATGCCTGTGCATGAGTGACTTTCAAGTTACACCATGTGTCTGTCTGTTATACATTCATCACTTAAACTTTGGCTTGTACTTTATCACACATTACATATGGTTTGGAAAAGTATACACAAAATTTTTTAAGTAAATTAGAATCAAAGTGTTGAATTTCGAAATTATTAGTTAGCCTGTAGCTTGTTATATAAATATTTTTGGTATAGCATGGGTCTAAGAAAAATTAAAGGTAAAATCAATGTAAATAGCTTATAATGTTATAGTAACATTCATCAATACTAATTTGCACAATTTGAAATTCCTTGTATGTGTAAGTCTTAAACTGATAAATTTGCTTCTATTGGTGTGTGCTTTTTAAAAAAATTTTCAAAATATTTACTTGTTAATTTTGACAAACTGTTTTTCCACTCAGCACTAAATTTAATCAAAAACGTTTGTATGGTTGTATTCACTTGTATTTTTAAGAATACACACATTTACCTTATTGATCTCTATCAAGCAAATTACATAAAATAAAAAAAGATTTGTAATACCAGTTATGCAGTCCACTCACTTTCAAGACACAATGTTCAGTTTCTGTAGTGCTTATCACTTAGCAACTTCACTTTGCTTGACATTTTAATTTCAGTGAGAATTTTACCAGCCCGACAGCCTTTTTGATGCATACCATTTCAAAGTTTGGGTAAGTTAAAAAAAGCAACGGAAAATTGCTTTTAAAAAAACAAAAACTGTTTTTTCTAACACCAAATCGCTTTTGGGCTGGTAGCAAAACATTATGCTACGTTTTAATAACGAAAGTGCACAACAATATATTCATTTATAACAATGAAAAAAAATTTTTGTTTCTGCTTACTTTGATGAACACCTCGAGTTATTTGTATGTTCTCTAATAACTAGCAGTAGTATTGGGGTATATTTACAATTGGTAGTGATGGAATGACAAATACATATTATTTTTGCAAATTACGTTGTAAGATATAGCTTGTGGGTTAAATATCTGCATGAAAATTTCTTAGCATGGCAATCAGAACGAACATAAGAACATAATATGCATACTGGGTGTGATGTGCTTAACAAAAAAATTTCGCTTTAGATGCAAAAATTAATTATTTCACTGATTTTCATACTTATTATGGACTTATAACTTTTTTTGCATTTGTAATTTTAGAAAAAAACAAGCAAAAATGCAAAAAGAATTGGAAGAGGCAGCAAGAGATACTAGAACTTCGAGTCCAGATCGTGCTAACTTGAAGGAAGGACCACTCACTCTCCCTTCGTCAGTCCCCACTAAAGTCTCCATTAAGTTTGTACGTTAATGCTTACATAAGACTTGTTACTATTCAACGATCTTCGAAAAATTTTCAAATGAAGGCAGATACTGATAGTGCATGCAATGTTTTCTATGATGTTATGCACAAGTGCCTTTGTTTTTAATGAATAAGAACGGAATGTTTCAATGTATGAGATTGCTAATAAGTGAATTTTATTTTACTTTGTTGCTTAATTTGAATGAGCTTAAATGCTCTTACTCATAATTGGCATGGAGAAAAAGTTTATTATCATGATTCGATTTGTATGATGTCAAGTCGTTTTAAACAAACATTTCATTGAAAAATTGATATTTTTAGGTAGAATATTAGCTTTTACATTTAATGCTGAAACAGTATTTCCTGTACTACATAAATTAATATTATGTTAGTTATTATTGTGATAAAATTCATGAAGTATGTTGTTACATTCATCTATATTTTATAATGTACTTGAGTAACAAAACTGTGGTACAATGTAAACTATGAAAAAAATTAACAACTCAAATTAATTATACGCTAAAATTCGCTCGTCAATGACAGTAATCATTGAATGTTATTTAAATATTAAAATAAAAATTTTGTTCAATATCAAAGTATAATTGAATTGTAGAGCTAGAGAGTAGAGTAAATAGTTCACATTTGTAGTTTCCTAAGCTTCATAACTTATAGAGCTATATTGTACCACTATCTTTCTTCCTGAAAAAATTGATTCCAATAATTAATTACAGTATCCTCGACAATATTTTTACTTGAACTTTTCAAATTTTTTAAAAATAATTCATGGTTCTAAATTTAAAATAAAATCTACTTAAATTTACTCGTAATAGTTATAATAACGCAATAGTTATATATTGCCAAGTAGTCATTCATTTCGCTTTTGTACTATTTCGTAACGTGTCAGTACAGAAACAACGTGCCGAAGCGGGAATTTCGTGCCAAAAGTGTGTCAGACACATCACGTCATCCGCTTTGAATCGAAAAGTAGCATGAATCACGCAAATAAAATGGGACACTTGGTTAAAAAATTAAAAACTGCATGCCAAATGTGACGATGATAAATGGAAGATAAATTTGATCGTAACGTCGCTTTGCAGAATGCGCACGAGGGCGAGGTGAACGCCGTTAGATGGTCACCTACTGACAGGATCCTCGCTACAGGCGGTGCCGATAGAAAGGTGAAGCTTTGGGATATAGGCAAAGGTGAGCCATGTTTAATACAAGCTTTGTGTTACAACCATGTGTTTTGAGCTATACAGCTGATGCAACGTGTTCCAGCCGGTAATGGATTGCGTTCGCATTGAAGCTTTGGTTTGCTGGTGTTGAAAACCAAATTTATGAAACAACACGTTGATTAAAATGCTCGTTCCTTGGATCTGAATTTTTTATGTACGTGACTTAGGAATACCCAGCCCTTTGGCTTTAAAACCTTTTAAAGTAATTAACAGTAAAAAGGAAGAAAAAAAAAAACTAGTACCTACGTATTTTAACGAGTACGTGAACTAGAATATATACTAGCTCATTCATATATGTATTAGTATCTATAATATTTCGATGACGATGGATGAGTTTTTCAATTATTCGTCAATCTTTGTTTGTCCTTTAACTTTCCTTATTAAGAAGTACAACAAAACAATGAACAACAAACCACCTCATTCATTGTGTGTGAAAGAAAGGCTAAAGAATGTAATAATTATGTGCCCAAAATACGCACACCTCGGGGAAAAAAAAAATTAGAGAGCGTCTCAAGAAGCTCTTCACTCGAAAATCCTCGTTCTTTTCACACTCCCTCTTATTTTTAACTTACATCGCCTTCACTCGAAGGTGGTAGAAAAAATGAGGAAAAGGGAGAAACAGCAACAAAAACAATGCGATATTGAATGACAAAACGAGGCCCTTACGGCACACAAAAGGGGCTCCACTTCATTTTTATCATCTCGGGCAGTCAACCCCGTGAAAGCACTCGCCCTCATTACGTTGGGAAATAAAGCCCCCATTCAGTCCCGGTCACGTGGAGTTGACATTATTGTGTACCTCGAGTGGCGTTACATACATTTGTACAAAACACACACACATACACTTCCTCGTGCAAAATGAGGACACGCGAGCCCAATTTTCACAAACCGTAAGAAAAAAAGCTGTAAATCGCACTCTTTTTTTTTCTTTTTTTCTTTTTTTTTACACAAGCGCTTTCCCGTTCATGTTTGACAAGAGCTACCTTTTTGCCTTATTCACTGGCACTCACACCAAGGCTTTTTATCGCATCGCTCTTTATTGCGAATCAGTAGGCAGTTGAGCCGCTTATATTTAAATGTACTCCGTTGTCGTCTATCGCACACTCAACCGGAGTATTTGAAATTTCGATGTCAAACAGAGGGTTTAACACGCACAAATGCGGTATTATTATAATACAGAGTATAGAGAACATTATAAACAGGGAATGCGGGGTTGGGCATCTAAATGCGATTAAATTCATTCGAAGTACGCCCACGCGACTTTGGGATAGTGAACTGTTCATTTTTGTTGAACGTAGTGCGACCGTATATACAGGACATAATTTTTTTTTTCTTTTAGTTTTTCATCTTGTGAAAGTAGGCAAAAAAAAAAAAGAAATTCATAAAATGAATCCTTTTTTTTCTTTTTTTTTTTTTTCTGTGAAAAATTACATTTCAATCATCCCGTTGATCTTTTCAAATTTTCCATCAAATTTTCCACCGTATTAGTGGATTTTTTCCATACTTTTTTGAGAATCAATTGGGAGGGAGGGGAATAATGTTCACAAGAAGTATATATTTTTCCTCTGATGGGAGATGAAATTAAAATATCACTGCCCCGCGACTCCGTGTGCACGGAATTACAAATTATTCAAACAACGGCATAAAATTATTTGAATTGCAGGAGGATACGAGTGCAAAGGGATGCTAGTGGGTAGCAACGCCGGCATCATGTCCGTGGATTTCGACTCGTCGGGCAACTACATTCTCGGAGCTTCCAACGACTTTGCAAGCCGCGTCTGGACAGCGCCGGATTATCGATTAAGGGTAAGTGTTTTTCCAAGTCCCTTTTTCAACATCTACACGTGTGCGCAGTGCTCATTTTTGTAGAGAAAAAAACAATGTCTCAAAGAACTCTTACGGAAGCCACAAATATTCCGCTATCCGTAACCAACGAAATTAAAAAAAAAAAAAAAAAAAAAAAAAAAAAAAAAAAAAAAAAAACAAAAGCCCAAGATAGAGCTTTTCCGCAAAAGTCACAAAGTCATCGTGAGAGTATTATTGTGTTATTGTTCCTTCAACTGCAAAGGCCACGCACACCTGCGACGTATTTCCCAATTACGTATACGCGGTGGGCATTGAAAAATCCTCGAACGTGTATATTGTTTGCGTGGCACGAGACGCTGCCCGTGCACATTTTTCTCGACAACGCGCATTACACCCCCTCCGATTGGTCATCGAGCTCCAGGCGGGAGAAAGCTCAGCAAATGGGTCGCAAAAGCTCGTTAAGCCAATACGAGCACGCGGAGCCAACCCCCACCCATTCCCGAGTAAACAGATGTAGGTGTTCGTGCAACGGCCAAAGGGATTCAGAACGCCTGTTTTGGCAATAGAATACGAAATTTATCGTCCAGCCACCCCTCGCGGCTCCGTTCCTTTTTTGCGGGCGTTTGCTCCATCTGCATTCGTAACGCGTCCTCGTAAAACTAATGATGCTTTTTTGGCCCGTCCATACATGCATACACCGTATTGTATGAATATACGTGCGTTACACGCGCATGAGCGCAACCTTGCTTTTTACCACGCCGCTATTTACTTATTCTCGTTTCTCTTGGTAATTTATGGAAATGCATGATGCCGTACCTCCTATACGTGTAGTGAGTACCCCCGTACGGTAATTTGTTTGTATCATTACGCGCGCCACGTGCTGACGCGAGATGGAGGGATTGAAATGACGATGCACTTTGATGCTTTCGCGAGATAAGACGCGTCTCTCTTTCTACGCGGATGCAGCTTTTGCCAGATGTAGGGCTTGATTATTCGCGAGTTCATCCTGCACCGTCCGGTGAATTCCGAAGAGAGATAGAGGGACGAAACTTTCGCTCGCTTATCCAGGAAGAGGGTTAACGTCATTAAAACTTTCGCGCGGCCTTTCCCTTGTTGTTCAAATATTTTAGCCCCGTTCTCCCCGGCAATTGTCGGAGCGTAAGCTCCCTATCGTGCTTTTCTCGGGGATCCCGCAACTTTGCGAATATTATCGCGGTTAATATTCAATCCAAGTGGATTTTCGTGGATTCACGGCTTTGCTGCTGTTTGTCGTTGAAACACGATGTGGTGTAAGCAATGATGTTTCGGAAACCCGAATTTCCGAGCTTGATTGCATTCAATGTTCGCAGTTGTTTTCAATCACCGTTGAAGCTTCCGTAAATTCCGAGCCGTACAATTTATTTAGGCTCAGTAATTTCCGGCTTTCATCTCTTCGTTTTGCGATTTATTCGATGCAAAAAATTTGTATTTCCTCTTTTACTGGCGCACTCCCCCGGAGGATAAACGTTTAAATGACTAATAACTCGAATTGGCGCTACGAGAGATGGGGCAAAGATGACAAATAACTAGAGAAAAATATTAATAAAGCATCAACAGCTCTTACGAAAAATGATGAACTTTCACGCAGCCAAGTGTATACTTGTAGTTCATAGAGCTGGTTAATGGTTGTAGATTGTTATTTTTGAGCCAGAAAACATAGTAAGTATTCATTAAAGCAGCAGCTCGTATCAAATTTGTTTTAAATAACCCAAAGCCAAACAGCACCTGGATAAAGGGACAGAGGAAGTTTGCTACATTTTGCGAAATCACACGCGGCCTTGGACAAGTCATTCCCGAGTTTTCTCTTCGACGAAAAAAAAAAACAAAAAAAGAACCCCCACCTTTATCCGCGATCTGCGCAAACAGGACCCGCTGGGCCACACCCATCCTTTGTCTTTGAAACGTGGCCCCGTTAATTAGACTTGTTCTTTCCTGTGATCTTCGAAACCCACTGCGACAGCACGGAAAAAACAAGAGATCGGATGACGTTCGACTAATCTTCGCGATGGAAGGGTAAAAGCACCGAAAAGAGCTGGCAACGGAGAAGAAAAAGCCCCTTGAAACCAGCCTTTCTGACAACCTACTACACTGCCCGAGCTTGCGCATTACGATTGATTAGTCGAGAGAGAACCGTGACTCGGGAGCTTTTTTGCTGCGTAGTTTCATTCAAAATTCAAAAAAGGTGCCCCGTTGGGTTTTGATTTTCCTTTTATTCTGTTAGCGATCGATCTCACCCTCGGCACGTTTGTTCGACATCGGTGCCCACGTTATCGCCCACCACCTAAAGTAATTAAATTACCCATGTGGCCGCTGGTCTCCTTCTTGCCTTCGGGTTTCATTTCCGGGGATTGGCGAGCAATCGCGCGTAAAGGTGCGGTATCTCATTTAGGTGGCGGGCGCCACTCTGCCGATTGAAAGAAAAGGAAAGATCATCCCGACTGGATGCGTCCGCTCTCTCGAGGACCGTTATCTCGAACATGGATGGGAAAACGCAAGTATCTTTGAAGTATATCTCTCTCCTACCCCACACTCCAAATTTCTCCCTGGTAGCAAAACCATTTACGTGTTCTTCCGTGACGTTGTTCCTATTATTGTATACGAAATTTTGAAATGAAATAAAAGCCCCTCCGAAACACCTGCAGCTATTTGTACCAGAACTGGTGATAACTATATTATTATTCTGGCGTCGATACCCGTGAGCATCGTGTGGTTGTTGTTTCTTAATATTACTATCACAGGTATACGCACATCTGATGGGAAATAGCAAAGAATCCCCGGCAACGCGATATGTGAGACACTATATTTACTGCTCCTTCGCAGGGGGGGTGAGCTTTTCCAATGCGCGGAAAAAAAAACGCCAGCCTCGTTGAAAAGCGAAAGCTCGAAAAACCATCCGTAACATGTGCTTGCGTTTATAGGTATAGTATCATAGTAAAAGAACAAAAAGTAAGGAGAAACCCTCGACTCGGTAGATACCCGCAACAGAAAACCCGTTAATCGCGTGCAAGTCCGCGACTCGTGGGGGTTTCTCTCAATCATCGTTCGAGGATTTTCCAAATCTTGCTATTCTCTGGTATTCCATCAGTCTCTGTCAAGGCAAAACGGCGTGCTTTTTTTTTTTTTTTTTTTTTTTTTCTTCAAATGGAAAAAACACCGACACTTGGTGACGGACAATAAGCCGCTCAATTCATTCAGCTGACGGGCCTTTCTCCTCCTTCTTTTTCCATTCTCTGGACGGGATACCGATTCGAAAGGATTCAACTCAACGACAGCTCAATAGGTATGGCTGCTAGCTCTCCGCATCCTGTTCAAAGTAGCTTCGTTGTTGTTGTGGTTGTTTGCAAATGTACGAGTCGGGTCGAGAGGTGGTATACAGGGTACTTAACGAGGTTCTTAATGCATATGTATGTGCCAGCAATATGTTGAAAACGGTAGGGGCTAAGGTGTATCTTTATGGAAGCGACGCGTCGTAATCCGCTATACACTAATGAGCCGCAAGCTGTACGAGGGTGAGTGGTTCCTGCGAATCCGCACTCACGTTTGTAAGAGGTCGAGGAGGAGGCGGTTGGGGATTAGATGAAATCCCCGGGAGAGAAATTTGCGGCGGACACCACCCCCCTCCCCTCCGACCCTCTCGCGCTCGCGAATCTTTATTCAACGAAATCGCTCCAAACGAGAAAATGTTCTCTTATAGCGTAGGTGTACTTTCTGAGGGAGAGAAGTCCCTTTCTTTTATACCCCACGTATTGTATAGGTATACCGAGATAATGAGAGCACATACTGGGATGGATCGAGTACACGCGACTGTTCGACATAATGGTATCTTTCATTCCCAACGTTTATGTTGCGTTAGTAGTATGTTTTACTTATTCATTTATTTTTTACCGCAAGTGTGACAAATCAACATCATATATTTGAAACGACGGTCGAGCGTGAAAAATTAACCTTCCCCCGGATTAGTACATTTCAATACCAACGACTCGCAAACCACGGCCGATTCGACGACATTGGACGACGTAGCCAACTATACGTCGCTATATAGGCCGTCGCGTGATAAAAGCACTTGTCATTACCGCGCGCCTATCTCCCAAAAAGCGCTCCTCTTTTTCTCTTCCACTGAAATCTTGAGATTATATACGTGTACAGGTACCTATACGTGTACCACCTAAGAAGACTCTAAGGTGCATAAAATAGGTGATGGTTGCATATTATACAGCTCCAGTGCTATGTATTTGTGTAGGCTGTTGTCACTGAAATTTATGATGCTGCAGCCGGCTGACAAATGAAACGTCACCGATAAGTAACCGTTGACGTCGGTCTTGTTGTGATTGCTGTTTCCTGTCGTGTTACGAAAATACACACATAGTATACACGGGTACGTGGCCCTAGTTGATGCTGCTGCTGCAGGTGCGCAATAACCGGCCGCCCATTATACTCGGGTGTCCCGCCCCTATCCTCCGACCTGACATATTTCTTCGAAATTTGGGTTTTTAATCTCACCCCCGGTGCGCGTATACGGCCGATGGGTGTGGGGGTGTAAAAAAGCGCTCCGCAACCGCGAAAAGGGTGCGTGCGCTTCGAGCGCATGTATGTGTATATAATATATAAATATGTACCCTATTTGTACCGAACGCGTGTTGCGTCGTATGTGAAGTTGTTGTATAGACCTCGAGATAGATATCGCGAAGGTGTCGGGGACGTATAAAAATTTAATGGTAACGCTTTGTCGGGAGGAGATGGGAGCGGTCGTACGTTTCTTGCCGTTGCTAATAATTTTTGGTCACATAATTATATTGCATGCGACATGACAAGCGAGTCAAAGACACGCATGCGATTATTGATAATATCGTATCTCGCGTGTTCAGGGTAGACAGGTACTTATAATGCGTTCGCAGTAGGTCATGTATACGTATATAATTTAAAAGTCGTTGTGAGGGAGGAGGAGGAGGAGGAGAAATTTTAATTTCCATCACTCGCGTGGGAGGTGCAGGTATAAGCGTACAAATCGCGCGAAGCTTGCGGGAAACGACGGCAGTTGATTCTCGGATTGTAGAGGCGCCATGTAATTACATATGCAGCGTCAA